ACATGTTCCCAGACAAAGGTGGGGTAAACCCAGGCCAGATGTGGTGCAAGACCCTACAGAAGATGTAGGATGTGTCTGTGCAAAGATTGCTCTGTATGGAAGGAGGGAAAACGTGGAAATGAGCAAAACCCTGCTGCCAGAGGGTTAATTCACCCCTGGGCCAGAAAAGCCTGCTCAGGATTGCTGTGACACCTCGCCAGCCTCAGCCTGACTCCCTCCACTTGCTTTCGGTGACACCGGCCTGTCCCGCGTCCAAACGAGAGTGACAGCCCGGGTGACATCGTGGGCAAACAAACCTCCCTGGGGAAAAAGCTGCTCCTCGTCAAGAAACGGCTGCTGGCAGCCAGGGARGAGGGCTGGGATTGCAGCTCCAGAGCCCTCAGCTCAGGAAAGGAGCAGGCTGGAGCCTGCCCCAGCCCTGTCTGCTTCCCGCTGTCATGAGATGCCAGCTGATTTTAAGGAAGAGGGATTCTGACTTAGAAAATGCCACTGAGGCCAAAGATTTCATGAAAATCTGACAATTTTGAGAAAATGCCATTAACCCTTCAGCAGAAGATACGGTGCAGGCTGTAACTTTCCACTCTGGCTCTGGGAGTCTTTGAATTGCTCTAAAGTCTCGTTTCCAACCAGGTTTTCTTTGCATTAAAATCCACCTGTGCGTGATTATATAAGAGAGCACGAAGAAAACCTCCCAAGGAAAAAAGCAGCTGCCTCAATTTCATCAAAACTATATTTTYTCTAGGGGCAGAGGGGGATTTTTGTCTCCTGGGGAATTGTGTTGAATTTTGTTTCCTTTCCTTTGCTCTCCTAATTAAGACAGTGAGAGGTCTGGACTTAAAATCTTGTGTCAGCAGGACCACGGGGTTTGTTCAGAGGCTTCGTCCTGACAAAGAGCCCAGGTTGTGGGAGCTTCCTGAGGGAACATCTGTGGGTGAGGTGCTTGGCCTCATGTGCCTTTCCCAGACAGAAAACCCAGGATGCAAACCCAATGTGAAGACAGCTCATCAAAAATTCTAGTGAGGTGACAGCTGTATGGGTGCAATGGCCCTGCAAAGCTGGCTGTGGGTTTATGTCCACAAAAGGGGATTGAGGTTGTTTGTCCTTTGTGTTCAGAGTTATTTACTGACAAACATGCTGRGGGGTGGAGGGGATTAAAAATAAATGTTGACTCAAGACCTGGGATCTCTGTCCAAGGATGAGGGAAGCCATGGGAGAAATATCAGAGTGGTCCTGTCCCAAGGAGAAAACAAATCATACTTTCTGTGGGTTTTTTTAAGGCAGACTAAGTTCATTTTCACCAGTGGTGGGGTCCTGAGCAACCCTGGGGATGGCTCTGAGCTCATGCTCTGCTTTCTCAAACCTCCAGATATCTCAGCCCTGGGGCTTTTCATGTCCCACCCTTCTCTCCTTGCCAGTGTTGGGTGTAAAGGGCCCCTTGTTCAGATGTCCCACTCCAGAGCACTCCAAGCTTCAGTGCTGAAACATCTGCCACCTTTACAGAGTGAAGAGCTTWGGGATCTTAGGGAAGGGAAACAAATCCCCCCTCCATCAATCAGAGCCATTGAGCAGAAGGAAATCCCAGTGAGAGCTGCTGAGTCCTGTTTGCTTGGCACAGTGGTAGGGAAAAAGCCTCGTGTGAAGTTTACATGTTAAGGGAAATGAAGAAACAAAAACCC